TGGCCAGCATGACTAGACATGGAATGCCGTTACTTTCCCACCGTGGTGGTATCTATCTACTTGCATTTACATGCTTTTGAACTGCTAGGTTGGCAGGAGCTGGGACAAGCGATGGGCGCTCACTCCATCATGTGGATTCAATCTTACGACTGCTGGTCTTCTGACCTTGCAGCACAGCGGCTTCTGCGGTTTAACCCATAGTGCCACCACGTCCATTCTATGTTGGAAATAGCAGACAGGGAATATCTCAAAGGACAACTAGTCCCCATTCATCCTGTGACATCCCCTTTATTCCCCTTACATAAAATGTTGGTGTTTAGTAGAAAGACAGACACTCCACAGCAAAATCCTGGCTCTTGGTCTGTGCTTCCTAATAAAGAGGAGGTATAGCCCTGTAGGGAGGTGGTGAATAACCACAAAGAATTATATTTTTTTTTCTATAGCAAAATTTTGAGGGGTAGGTGTGACGATGTTCCTCAGCATAGCTAAAGGTTCCCTTTGACATTTAGTCCAGTCGTGTCTGACTCTAGGGCATGGTGCTCATCCCTGTCTGCAAATCGTAGAGCCTGCGTTTGTCCGTAGACAGTTTCCATGGTTACATGGCCAGTGCGACTAGACACAGAATACCATTACCTTTCCACTGAGGTGGTCCCTATTTATCTGCTCGCATTTACATGTTTTCGAACTGCTAGGTTGGCAGGAGCTGGAACAAGCCACAGGAGCTCACTCCGTCACGTGGATTCGATCTTACGATGGCTGATCTGCTGTCCTTGCAGCACAGAGGCTTCTGCGGTTTAACACACAGTGCCACCATGTCCTCAGCATAGCCTCCTAAAAAACAACATTTGGGTTCAATATTTGGTGATTCTCCTGATGGTTTCTAGTTGTGATTTTTCACTTTCTGGAAAGATTGTGGCCGTGGTTGTAGATAATATTTTGCTGAGAATATTTCTACTCTAGTTCTAAAGCATTCAGACCATTATGACTTCTAGCATGGCTTAGTGACATAAAAATAATACAGTATTTCCTTTCTTTCTATATTTTTGTAGCCCAGTCATTGAAGGAATTTGCCAGGTTGTTGATTGCGGTAGAAGAAGAAAGGAGACGCCTGGTAAGTCTGTCATCGAATACAATTGTGGAATTCTCATCATTTCCCTTAATGATTCACTCAGTGATCTTCGGATGCTGTATTTCATGTTTATGAAAATCCAAGCATAGAAGAAACTGCGACTTCTTTGCAAATGCTGAACGAATACAGTGGTGCCTCGCTTAACGCTGTTAATTGGTTCCAAAAAACCATCACTATGGGAAAACATTGTTAAGCGAAATGCGTTTTCCCATAGAGATGCATTGAAAACCGGTTAATCCGTTCCAAATACCAGGAGGTAAATTATTCCACAGGCGAGGAGCCACCGCCGAGAAGGCCCTATTTCTTGTTTTCTCTTTTCGGGCCTCCCTCGGCGTTAAGCTCCTCAGCGTTAAGCTCCTAAGGGAAATAATTCTCATTATTTTCCTTAATGATTCACTCAATGATCTTCGGATGCTGTATTTCATGTTTATGAAAATCCAAGCATAGAAGAAACTGCAACTTCTTGGCAAATGCTAAACGAATACATTGTTTTGTGGTTTGAATGGACAAGGTCACCATTACCCATTACGTTGGGTAATGGTGACCTTGTCACTTCTTGAGTTTAGGGAACTAAAACATTTCTGATTTTTATTAGGAATTTTTTGGAGTTAAACTTCTACCATACCTGTTGCTGTGATAGAGGGAAACTTCCACCTCTGTTGTAACAGCCCCCTAGGTCCCCTGCTTCACTTAACGATGTTCATTTTTTCAATTACAAAAGTGTCTTAACATGTTGAAAAATGGTTTTAAATGCTTGGAATCGTTAGTGCACCTTGTAAAATGTGTGCATACTTAATTTGGCGTTGATCTGACTTTTCGTTAATTTTTCGTGAATTTTTTTCTCTCCCATAGGAAACAATGGAGCTGTCAAAAGTTGGGCTCCATTGTTTCTTATGGGGGAGGAAAAAATTCACAAGAAATTAACGAAAAGTCAGCAACTGTTTTAAATGCTTGGGTTCGTTAGAGCACCTTCAATATCGTGTGCAGACGTAGTTTGGCTTTGTTCTGAGTCTTCGTTAATTTTGTATGAATACTTTTCTCCCCCATAGGAAACAATGGAGCCCAACTTTTGACAGCTCCATTGTTTCCTATGGGAGAGAAAAAAATTCACCAAAAATTAACAAAAAGCCAAATTAAGTTTGCACATGTTTTAGAAGGTGCACTAACGATTCCAAGCATTTAAAACATTTTTGAACATTTTAAGACACTTTTAAAATTGAAAAAACGTTAAGTGAAACAGGGGACCTAAAAAATGCATTCTCTGTGCGAAGCATGGTCCCGAAATCGCTAAGCGAAAATCACCCATAGGAAACATCGTTAAATGATGCATAGAATTCTTTTTAAAAAACCATCGTTAAGCGAAAACATCAGTAAACGAGGCAATCGTTAAGCGAGGCACCACTGTACATTGTTTTGTGGTTTGAATGGACAAGGTCACCATTACCCAACATAATAGTGACCTTGTCACTTCTTGAGTTTAGGGAACTAAAACATTTCTGATTTTTATTAGGAATTTTTTGGAGTTAAACTTCTACCATACCTGTTGCTGTGATAGAGGGAAACTTCCACCTCTGTTGTAACAGCCCCCTATATTTCTATGCTGAAAACCCAGAAGGGGGGGGACAGAAAAGGGGGCAGCCTCCTTGGTTTCTCTGTGTATGAAGAATGGTGGGCTGAATCCAATTATTCATTGCATCAAAAAGAGACCTCTTAAAATAATGCTATTTTAGTAAGTCAGTCCTTACATTAGCCCCATTGATTCAGTGGATCTATTCCAGTAGGGACAGGTCTTTCGAGTTTGCCCAGAGTTCCTTGGCCCTCCTTGAGGAGGTTGTTGACATTGCTTTATGTTGAAGAGTTTTAACATGTTGGTTTAATTCCTCTAACTGTGCAGCAGAGGTGCAGAGATTCACAGAGCAGAATTACTTCAAATTCTCCAGAGTAATTCACCCCTTTTTCTCATAAGCTGGCACTTACAATTGAACAGAACAAACAGCAAACTGATAAAAACATGAGTGCTTTCAACAATCAGATTTTAGCAGATGCTAGAGAGAAGGAAAAGCAGTGAGCAGAGAGGAGGCATTCTCTTTGAATTGAGAGGCAGGGAGGGAACCATTGACTAGAGAAGGGAAAAGCAGTGAGCAGAGAGGAGGCATTCTCTTTGAATTGAGAGGCAGGGAGGGAACCATTGATTACTGCTGGATAGATTGACAGTCATTCCAGCCCAGAAAAAAAAACATTCCCTTCTCAGCCACATCTTTTCCAGGCAGCATACAAGGTTGTAAAAACTGCAGCACGTTATGGAGTTCCATTCACCTACTAACAACTTTAGATTTTATGTGGGTCATTTATTAATCTTTAGAGGTACTTTCACGGATCTTTGAATGAGAGCATGTTTCAACATAGTTTTCTTTCAAAAGAAGGCAAGTTTTCTTGTCAGTGCACAGATCTCAAACCACTAATCAAAAATCCAAATGTTCCAGTATCCCCATTGCCTCTTTTCCCAGAAGGGTTCACTGGTTGTTGTTTTTTTTACGCTATGCAGTTCCAAGGAATAAAATTGCATACTAGGTCAAAGTAGATTGCTATTAGAATAATCACTATTATTTACAACCATCTTCCTAAACATTCAGAAAGGCATAATTGCCCTTTGAAGTAGGTTTGCCATTAGAACTGTAGTAAGCTTTTCAACTGCAGAGCTGAGCATTTATCGGGCTAGTGGTAGACATGAGTACTTCGTTTTCGTACCACTGGAGATACGAATATCAAATGCAACGCCACACTTGCCGCAGTGGTCTGTTCCCTCTCCGCACTCACTGGTCATCGTGCGGCATGCATGTCCATTGTTGTTGACATTGCACCAATTGCGGAAGTAGGCTGGTCAGCACTTCCCCGCCTCCTCACGCAGCTGACCTCTCCAGCGAGGAGGTGGGATAAAGAGTCTCTCTGCTCAGCTGTTGAGCGGTTGGCTGTGTGGGGAGGTGCCAGCTGGACTGCTGTGATTGGTATGATGTCAATGACAATGGATGCTCACGGCAACTGGTGAGTGGACTGGCTGGTTCTGGAGGGAGTGAACGGACCTCCCTGCGCTTCATATTTATATCCCCAAGAATACGAATACAAAGTGCCCATTTCTAGCTATATGTCATGTTGGCTATGAAAATGATTCCCATTCTACAGTTTCTCTTGCTGAATCTGAATACCAAATTTGACTGGGAATGTAAGAGTGTGGATGGTCTTGGTCCTGAGTGACATTTGATGATCTTTTCTAATTCCTTCATTGTTACCCGTCCGAATTTCAGTCGTCTTCTGATTTCTTGGCTGCAGTCTCCGTTTGCATTGATGATTGGACCAAAGTATACAAAATCTTACACTATTTGAATTTCTTCATTGTCAACATTAACATTGTGCTGTTCTTCTGTAGTCATTTATTTAAATTTATTTAAAATATTTTTACTTCAGGAGGCTAGTGAGAAAAGCATTGTGGTGCAATGGTTAAACTGCTGTACTTCAGCCAAATTGTGCTCACAACCTGCGATTCAATCCCAGGTAGCTGGCTCAAGGCTCACTCAGCCTTCCATCCTTCTGAGGTTGGTTAAATGAGTACCCGGCTTGTAGGGAGGCAATGTTTAGTCTGCATAATTAACTTGTAAATTGTCCAGAAAGTACTTTAAGTGCTGTGGGATGGTATATAAGCAGCACACTTTGTTCTCTTTTTTTGGTGTTGAAAACTGTCCTTGCTTTAGGGCATGGTTACTCTTGTAAAGAGACATGGAGGGCTCTTTTCTCTGGGATGGGCACTTATCCTTTTAGATTCCTTGTTGTTCATGGCAGCAATAGTGACTGAAGACATGAGCAGATAGTAAGATTAAGTATAAACTCCAGGCCTAGAGAGGTTAATTGCTAGTGCTCCAGCTCATTTGAAGTACCACAGTGACCAGAGGACTCAGGGTGCTCGCCATAAATAAGCCCCCTGGCATCTCAGGCCATGTGGCTCCAGATGTTACATATGCCTGGAGCAGCTGGATAATCTGCTGCTTCCTGGTAGCAGTGGAAAGCATTTCAGTTGTGCATCCTTCCCTCTGCATTCTAATACAGTGGTGCCTCGCTTAACGAGGAAATCGCTTGACGATTAGGTTTTTGCAATCGCAAAAGTGATCGCAGAACGATGGTTTAAATGGGAAAAATCCGCTTCACAATGATCAGTTCCTTGCCCCGGGAACCAATTTTCGCATTACGATGATCTAAAAACAGCTGATAGTCGGGTTTCAAAATGGCCACTGGGTGTACAAAATGCCCCCCCCGCTGTTTTCTAGGACTGATTCCTCGCTTTACAGGCACCGAAAATGGCCGTCCCTATGGAGGATTTTTGCTGGATGGTGAATTTTCAACCCATTGGAACGCATTGGTTTTCAGTGTGTTTCAATGGGCTTTTTTATTTCGCTTAACGAGGATTTTGCTCTACAGACATTTCGCTGGAACGGTAATCCTCGTTAAGCGAGGCACCACTGTATGGTAAATACTGTGGAGGAATGGACAGTGTGGCCTTTGATCATGTTTCAGTAGCATTCGGGATCAGACCTCAGAGAAATTAACTATGTTTTTGACTCCAGCTTCTCAAGTGCCCCTGCAGCGTGGGCTACGGCTGTCCAAATCTTCTAGCCAGCACATTGGTTGGGGGATTTGGTGTGTGCCAGAAGTTATGTTATGAAACTTTGCTTGGAATGAATCCCTGGTACAGTCTTTACTTATATATTAGACTGTGTTATTTTATGTGTGAGTGTACACTATTTTCTTCTACGCTTTCACACAGACATCCAGAAGTAGGTTGAAAGCAAGTCATTCATGTACGATAAAAGCTTGCCTCTTGCACGTATTATGATCAGCATCTCCGGAATGCATTCTTGAGCCTGAGAATAGACGCCTTTCAGTCATCGTGGGTTGCTATTTCAGCTTAAGGTTTAGATGGAGTCATTTATTGT